GGAAGGCCACAGGCAGCCAGTGCAGCTCGCGCAGCAGCGGCGTTACATGGGAGCGACGAGTCGCTCCCATCACCGCCCGCGCGGCCGCATTCTGGACCAACTGGAGCCTCCGAGTGCTCCTCAAGGGGAGCCCCATGTAGAGAGCATTACAGTAGTCCAGGCGGGAGGTGACAAGAGCATGAGTGACTGTGCGCAAGGTATCCCGGTCTAGAAAAGGCCGCAACTGGTGCACCAGGCGTACCCGGTAAAACGCCCCCCTGGCCACAGCCGCCAACTGGTCGTCCAGTGTCAGCCGTGGGTCCAGGAGGACCCCCAAGTTGCGAACCCTCTCCGAGGGGGCCAGGGTTTCGCCCCCTATAGTCAGCGGAATGATATAGGAAAACTTATATACATCTACTTACTTCTTAATTAGAAAGATACAGTAAGATATTTGCAGTAGAACAGAAAGGAAATAAAAGAAAAAACAGATACAAAAAATTAAGTTCTGCCATGGTGAACTGGTATCTTGCTGGCTTCTGCTTGCTAGCAAGACAGCTCTAATGAAGGGAATTAGGGCTGGATGCTAGATCAAAGTTGGTGTAATATCGCTGGAACAAAGGAGACATTGTTAAGATCAAGGTTTTACTATATTCATTGGGTGAGTTTCCACCTCCCTAAAAGGGTTAAATTTGATTTTAAATATTTTAAAAATGTATGGACCATGAAGCAAAAGGGTACTTAGCATATAGATTTTGGAAAGTTAATAATGGATTAAAGGGCCAGAAGATTTGGAATTATAGTTTTGAATTCTTTAGAAAATATTTTCTTATGGAAAAATGGAGATTGTTTTGCCTTAAAAAAAAAAAAAAGACCTGGAAGGTTGGGCACTAGAGCCAGAGGATAAAAAGAATGGATCAGAAATCCTTAGTGCGAAGTTTTGAATATCTCTATTTTGAATACCTCAAATGAGAAATCGAAACCCAGTCGCTGATAAACGTGGTAAGAATTTTTAGCATAGATATAGCAATGAAATTTGGTTTAGAGAAATGGATCACATTTCTTATAGCTGATAGCTACCTATAGTAGCAATAAATCAGGGTAAAATCACTAAAAGTAATTAGAATTGAAATGCCAAATGGCCAAACCATCAGGAGCCATCAGGATGAAGCCTAAAGTATCTGGGCATTTTACAGTTGGATAACATCAAGCATGAAAAGCTAAAAATTTAGTTACTAAAGAAATCTAATGAATAAGAAAAGTTATAAACAAAAATTTGAATGGAGAATACCATCAAAAGGTATCAACACCTGGACAATACCTGTGATGCAATACATTGCTAGAATTATTAAATGGGCAGTGGACATTTTGGACCAGAACACAAGAAAATAGATGATTATTCACTATGAGTTACACATCTGCAGTCACACCGATAGATTATACTTGCTCCACAGAAATGGAGGTTTACTTTAAGTCAAACAAACTGTCAAAGAAGAAAAGCATGCATTTGCTAATTACATAAAAGATAGCCAAGAATAAGTTTTGTGCAAATTAAAAATTGGAAACTACTGAATGTGCAAGAAACCAAATAGTACATTGAAATAATATACTAAAAACAAGAACAGAATGCTGGCAAGTATTAGATGATCAATTTCAACAAAGGATTGAGGGGAAAGTGGATAAAAGATAAAACCTGGCAATTGTTTACAATGGAACATTAAAAAAACCCTAAAGGCTTGATTTTGGCTTCTCAAGAGAAAGTTATTTGAACTAATGAAATCAAGGCCAGAACTGAAAGATTGTCAAATGATTTAAGGGCAGATTGTGCAAAGAAGTAGAAGAAACAATAGATCATATACTCAGCTTGTTCAAGATTACGACCAGCTGATTATAAACAATGAAATAACACAGTCAGCAAAATGATTCAGTGTAACATCTGTAAAAATTATCATATGCAAGTAATGAAAAAATGGTAGAATTCAAAAAGTAGACAAAAATGAGCAATTTAAAATATTGTGGGATATATTTATACAAACTGATAAGTCTTGGCTCGTAACACACCAGATTTAACTGTGGCTGAAAACTAGAAAATATGGATAGTTAATGTGGCAATACCAGAATTTAGTAGAATAGAAGACAAAGAATAGGAGTAGACCACAAAGTATCAAGGTCTGAAAATTGAAATATTCTGGCCATGGTGATCCCACTGTCTATTGGCATACTGGGTGCCATACTAAAAAAATCTTGAATGGCATTTAGAAAATATACGCATTGACAAAATTTCTATCTGTCAGTTACAAAAGGCCACACTGCTTGGATCTGCACATATACTACACTAATATATTATGATATCCTAGGTTCTTGGGAAAAAGTCAATGAGTATGAAGACCATCACCAGCTAAAGAAATAGCAACTGTGATTTCACATTTTTATACATATATAACAATAATAATACATTTCTCAATTTACCTTTTGGATTTCTCTAATCCAGCGGTTAACTCCAGATTGTAGTTGGTTGAGAAAAGTTGGGTCT